GTGGGAGGACAATGCTGGCACTGCCCCAGGTCTCTCTGTGCCCTGCCTGCAAACCAACCTGCTCCTCAGGTGTTCCCCTGCTCCTGCCTTCAGTGCCCCTCTGTTCCTGCTCACTCCTGGCTGGCTGCTCCCAGAGCCTTTTCTCCTCCACTACAGAGGAAGCATTAAAGGAAAGAAAGAGATATTTGCGAGTTTCTGTGTTCTCTGAGCTGGCTGAATTCCCCCAGCACGGAGCTGTGTGTGTGTGCAGATGCCTCTGCTCCCCCAGGGTTCCCTTCAGTGGCTGCACTCGGTGCTTTTCTAGCACAGAGCCAAGGATTATTCCAGTGGAGCTACAAGAGACGAGGCAACTCCGTCTCTGCAGAGAAAACAATTTCACAGAAGACTACCCCAGGTTAGGATGGGAAGCAGGGACACAAAGGCAGTGAAAAAAGCAGCTGATCACTCTCTGGCTTGCCAGGATGAAGAGCCAATTAGGGTAAAACAGCATCCAGAGTATATACATTTTTTGAAGGGACAGAAAGGCATGGAAGCATGTGGGGATTTGATTTCACAGAACTTTGCCATCTTAATTACCATTGTATCCCCATCCAGCCCCTCCCTGGGCACTTTATTCTAATGTTGTTTTTTGCTGGTCCCACAGAAAAGTTATTCTACTCAGATGATGAAGGATGGGATGGGACTCACAGGCCATGGTACACAGGTACCTGTGCCACTAATTCCACAGCTGATTTTGGACAAAATACACATTTTTCTACTTAAGGAGCCTAATGACAGAAAGGATGGGTTTTGCTGTGGTTTTGTAGAATTGAGATCAGCAGGAAACCTGACTAACACAGGTGGGAAACAAACAGTATGACAAGAAGTGTCAGATATTTCACCAGTGCAAATATAATCCCTATGAAATATCTTGCTTTTCTATGGCTGCTCAAAGCATAAGTTTGGAAAAGCCTGATAAATCTCTTTTTGGTGGATTTCCCACTCAAGACATGTGTGATAGATGCAGTTTAAATAGAGGTAAAAGTGCAAAGTGTTTCTTTTGACCTAAGGTAGAATCTGTGATTCAGAGGGACCAAGACAGAGCCCACAGCTCTGTGCCATCATTCAAAGCCTGCTCTGAGGTGTCCCCTGTTTATGTTTTGTAAAGTCAGGCAGCTGGTTATCTGCAGATATTCATTCTCCAGAAAGTTCCTAAAGCAAAACTCACATCCTGGACAAGAACCAGGATGCACCAGCCCGGGCAGGGACAGGTACAGAGAGCTTGGTGATGCCATGGATGGTAAATGTGTGTTTTACAAGTCTCAGCCTCCTTAAACCTGACATGGAGCAACATTTAGACTGCCTGTGCAGCCTTAACCTGATTTCTTCAAGTAGGTAATGCAGACAACTAGAAACACTCAGAGATTGAACTCTCAGCACCCACTAAAGGCATAAAGAAACCTCAAGTGAATAAAATCTCTCAGTGCTGGAAGGGGAACATGAGGAACAATTCAAGTGAAATCAATGAAGTGTGAAATACATACAAAATAAATCAGTGGTTCTGTATATTTTTTTTCCTCTCTTCTTTCTTCCTTTCTTTCATCTTATGAAGTGAAATACATTTGGAGAAGCACCTCACTTCCCTGGGGTTCCCCCTGGTTCCCAGTGATGTACAGCTGGAACACATTCCTCGAGTGTGTACACAGAGCACAAATTAAAGCTCTGAGATGGAAAACCACATGACAGCTGATGACCTACAACAACAGAGAGAGCTCAGGAAAAGGAAAATGTGCGGGGACCTTTGGGAAACCTGTTTTCTTCCTGTATTCCTTGTACTGTACCCTGCCCAGGGAGACCCTGATCTCAGATGCACTCTGTTCCATAAAGGGAAGGCAATGCAACCTGGGGGGGACAGTGTTATTTTATATCCTGGAGAAAAGCTCATTTCTCACCTCTGTCTGGGCCTGCTTGACTCGTGCAAGTTCAACCTTCCTCTGCTTTTCCATTTGGAAAATGAAGATAATGATCCTGACCTTTCCAAAGGTGTTCACAGTGGGTGGACAGAACGTGCAATCTAAAAGCTTGATCTCACTCCTGTAATACAAATAATGGTACCAACAACAAGCCATTTTGTTTTCCTCCCTCCCTGACCTTTCTCCCACACACCTTTCATGCCAGACTCCCTCTGTTCTCTCAGCTCCTGCAGCTTATCAGTTCCTAGCCAGGGACACCGACAACAAAAATAAAACATTTCAACACATGCCATCTCTCCCTGCTCTCCCCTCCCACCATCCTTTCGCTGCAGGAGGGCAGGATCAATATTTGGAATGTGCATCTCCACCTCCCTCCCCGAGCTGTGACGTTCCCTGGCACAGGGAAGGCTCCAGCACATGGATGTGATTGATGGGGACTGTGCTGGGCACTGGGAGAAGATTGGTTTCTGGGGCTGATGGATAAAGTCCATCATGCAGCATGAAAACAGCTGGGGAGAAAAATAGTGGCCAGTCTGATTCTTTCCAGCAGCGAATATTTAGTGAGAAAAGCTTAGGGAGGGTTTTTTTTTTATCCCTGGTTAATTTGTAATTAAAGAAACTCGGGTTCGGATGTGAACGTCCCAAAGTCTTCCCTTCGTTAAGCGAGGTTGTCTGACCAGTTAATTAAGGCAAAGGGACATTTATGGGATGTCACAGGAAGGCACAACCATTCCTTGCTGCTGGAGTGGTGAGTGGAGAGCTCAGCCCACCCTGCTGAGCAAAGGGAGCACCCAGGCAAAGCTCCCAGTTAAGGAGTTCACATTCCCGGGGAGCAAAACTGAATTAATGCCTGGCTGGGAGACAGCTAACGCTGGGATTGAGGTTTCCCAGGGTTTTCATGTTTATTTCATAGACCTGTTTGCTTTTTGATGTTCCAAGCTCTTTGATTATTCCTTTTAATCCCTTTTCTAGACGTTCTTAAGTGTCAGCTGCAGCCCCGGTTGGGGCAGGTGAGCTGTTCCTCCACAGCCACACACACAGTGCAGGGGACAACAGATCATCCCTGGCCATCACTTAAAGTTGTGACAGCAGCACATGAGCTCCTTGGATCTGTCAGTGGAGTCACCTCAAGTGTCTGCAGGGAGGGACTGGTGAGGGAATGGTCGTTTTATGGAGCTAAGGAATGCAAACCATCCCAAACAAAACCTGCCAGTGCTGCTGATTATTTAAAATTTACTTTCCTGATATAAAATTCTGCAGACAGATCCCAACAGCGCACACAAACACGCAATCAATATTCCCCGTGTGGTGTTACAAGTGATTGCTCACCTAAAAGTGCCACCTCAAAGCTCCTTTAATACCCACTTTGCACTCAGACACCAACCTGGCAATTAGAAGTGGAAACAGAATTTCCATGTTCACTCCAAGCAAACAGGAGCTCGGTAGCTGTGTTTCACTCAGCTTCAGAGATGCAAAAGCAGGAGGAATTACCAAAATCAACAAGAAACTAATCTCTTTAATCCTGGAAGTTTCTTTTTTTTTTTTTTTTTAAACAAGTTTAAATAATTGATACACTGTCAGAAGCAGCCTGAATCCACGGAGGGAAGATTAATATTAGATGAGATTCCTTCTCCCTCTCTGTATGGGAAAGGATGGCAAAGTCATAAAGCAAGTGCTTTGCACACTACAATTGGCCTAAGGTGGGTAAAAGGCTGGTGAGATTGTTCTGGGTTTCAGACACAGTCTGGCCAGTGATGTGGAGGGGAGGGAGGAGGTTTCCTGACTCTGCCGACTTTGTTCTTGCAGGAGAAAGGAGCCAGAAAATACTGGAAACAAAAGGATGGAGGAAAGAAACTCTGTGAAGATCCATATGAACAGTGTCCCCCTGTGCTGCTGAGCTCTGGGGGTTCTCAGGCTCGGCAGTGTCCCCTGTACCCTCTCTCCTGCTCTGCCCCTCTTCCAACTGACAAGTTTTTGCTTCCCTGCTGTGCTTTTTTTCCACGTGCTGGGGTGAGAAGTGGCTGAAACACACCCCACAGTGGCACCACCGTGTCACAAACCTGTCGATCACCAGTCTCTTGATCACAAATCTGTCGATTGCTGCATTTCCAGCCGGGGAGGGACAGTCGGGGCCGGTGGCTCCAGAGAGCCCTGTGACTGTTCCCCGGGGCTGATCCTTCTCCAGGGTGAAAAGTGGCTCCCTGAAACCAGGCAGATCTCAGGGAATGCTGTGCACTAACCCTGCCTGGGGCAAGGCTGGCAACATGTGCAGCCCCTAATGCAAAATGGCATTTACAGGGGAGAGGGGAGCCAGAACCACAGGCAGAGCATGTTCCACCCTGCTAACGCCTCATTTTCTCACTCCTGTAAATTCCAATTAAGGAAGGCATTTATGTCCACACCTACAAAGGTATTTACATGCTCAAATGCTGCTGAATTCAGCATCACTTTGTCACCTTTGAGAGTCTGGGTCTTAAGCCTTTTTCCTGCAACATAATGCAATGTGCTTAATGCTGAGAAGGTCACTGTTCATATCCAAGTTGCTACATTGCTCACTCTTTTATCAGTCATGACACGGCTCTGTCTTCATATATGGGCCTCATCACAGTGGTATCTGAAGCTTTTCATGTCAGTTAAAAGCCAGCAGCTCTGTCTTTGTCTCACTCTTATCTCCCATTCAGAAGAGGGATCATTATCTTCAATATACCTATAAAAATAAGTCCTGTGACATTACTCAGGAAGAAAAGCAGGCTCTGTGACAGGTGGCAATGCCAGGTCACACTGGAAGTTACAAAACTCAGCAGAAGAGAAAGAAAAGGAGGATCTATCACTGCAGAAGCCCAGGCTGGCACTCAGGGGATGTGCTGGAACAGAGCCTTGGAGCCTTGAGCCAAAGGATGGGTTTGGCCATGACTGGGGCTGTACCAAGGTAATGCTTCCCTTAGCATTTAATCCAAATAGACAGAGCTTTATTAACCTGCCCCCTGAGGAACCTAATAAGGATCATCTCAGAGCAGAGAAGCAATAAGGAAATGAATAACAACTTACTCTATTATAGATGCATGATGATGATCAATACTCCTTTGTGCTAAAATGGCAGTTGGCATCCAAAAATCTCAAAAAAAAAAAAAAAAAGAAAAAAGCAGTAAGGATAAATTCATCAACAACCTCATCTTTGGAGGCACTGCAGCATTACTACTTTTATTATTATATTTATTCAGCAGGGGCACTTTTTGGGCTACAGGGAGAAGACAAGAGTTGCCCCCAAAACACCCAGTTCCCAGTTGACAGAGCTGCAAAAAACAGCCCAAAGTCCTGTGCTCAGTCTCACGGTGATGAATGCCTGGGGAGGCCACTCTGCTCACACCACTTAACCAGGCCATCAGCTCCCAGCCTGAGATGCCCAGATCCAGCCCAGGGATTGTGCTGCTTTAGCTCTGGTCCTTTGAAGAACTGAAGATGAATTGACTGGCAGAACCAGCCGTGTGTTTGGCCTAATGGCTGTGACCAATCACTCTCAAAAGTGTCCCTAAAAATGGGATTTCTCCTGGGTTGGGAGGCAATATCAGCCTTTAAATCCACAGAAGGATCTGGCATGGAGAGAGCAATGCCAGCAGCGTGGAGCAGGGCTCTTGGAGTGATGTGGCAGACTATAATTGATACCAGAGGCAAACGACACCACAGGCAGCCACTGTGGTATATTTGATTTAGAATTGCTGATTGACAGCCTCCTCCATCACGCTTGGGGATTGCTCTGCAAACATGTGATTCCTGCATTGCCATCCATCTCTTCCCAGGGAGGCTCTCAGCACATGGACAAGATCCCTGTGGAGAAACCAGGACACCCAGAACCTGCTGTGGGTGACTGAGACTGACATCACCAGGGAGGAATATTGGAGAGAGCCTCAAATTCTCCAGGAGCAGCCGAGCAACTGTGCTTTGGGTGCAGCTCTGCACATCCCCCAGGGCTCCTGAGAGCCCACCTCACACACATCCATTAACCAGCCCATCATTATGGATGGCAGGGAGACAGAGGATTCTTGGCCCTGGGTTGAGAACATTATTATTATTTCCAGATCATTAACACGTTGAGAGGCTTCTTACAAGCTGAAATACTGCAGGAAAATGTGAAATGTGTGAGGAACAGGGCACGAGTTCACTGTGAAAAAAAAATGTTCCACCCAGGGACTGATTCCAGGCTGTGTGGTTTATGGGATGTCTCAAAGATACAAGGGCCTGTGCTGTAGACACGTTTGTCTGCCCAAGTCTCTCTCCTGTACACTGACAGTGCACACTTCAGACTGAAGATCAGCCTAAGTGCTGAAATAGCTCTTCTGGGACATATTTTTGACTGCAGAGTTTCCAGTGCTTACAGATGTACTGTCTGTGGCAATATTTGGTGCTTTCTCTAAAGAGCCTTAGTTCCCAAAGTCATCAGATCACCTGAGGAGCTCAGCTGTCAGGCAGCACAGCTTACAAGACACAAACTCCAGAGATTTAAAGCTCTGCAGGTAAATACCCAAGCCCTGGCTGCCTCTTCATCATATCTTTTATTTATTTATTTTTTTTTAATTTTAGTATTAATGGGATCAGACAAAAAGCCTGACTCATGATTTTTCAACACTTCAGGTGAGCAGATGCAAAAGTCCTTCCCCCATTCTGGCATGTGCTTGTTAAATGCCTTGATTGATGGCAGCTCGTGGGTGTCATGCAGGCAAAGACTTTGAGGAAACCACGGCCCTCCTCATTTTCAGCCAAAAATGGATGCCTGGCTGTCCTGAAGTAGCACTGAAGTCACACACACTGAAAATCCTGCGACTCTGATAGGAGAATAATTGCCTGCTCTCTCAGTACTAATATATTTTTGGTTTCTGGTTGGCTGCATTTGCATCTGGCTTTGCAGACTCCCTTCCCCTGGAGCGCCTTTATTGGATTTGCTTGGTCTCATGACTTACTGCAGTTCTTAAACCAAGTTCTAAATAACTCAAACAAGCCTCGGGATGGCTCCGTTTGCTGGAGCAAAGCAAGGTACAGAGACAGCCCAGGTGGGACATGGAGAACCTGGAATACACTCCAGGCTCAGGGATCCGTCACTGGAAGTGCTGGAGCTGCTCTTCCCTTCCTTGCAGAGCCTTGAGCACAACCAGAGCCCACGGCACAAACACTATAAATAACAGTAATGGGGCCACTGCTGGTGACATCAGAGTAGAAATTAGTGAGACTGGCAACTGCAAAGCAGCAGCAAGCTGCAATATTTTCACCCCAGTGCTTTCTGGAAATGGTCTTTTATCTCAGAGGCTGAGTCAGAGGCAAGTAAGGGGGCAGATGAGTCGCCCCCACTCAGCCTGCTGAGGAGAGGAGGAATTTCTGGGAGCCATTTCTGACCCCCCACCTCACACTGCAGCAGTTTTCGCTCTGTGACAATGTACATATTGAGAAAAAAAGTGGGGTTGGTGGGTATTTTTCACTGGACTGAGTCACACTGAGGGTGTGGGGGAAGGGAATGGTGCCAGGCTTTAATAAATGCAGTGTCACGACACTCCCCAAGTGCCATCTCCTCAATATAGCAGGCACTGCAGTGCCTCCACCAGGGCCCCAATTCTGCCTTTCCCACAGCATCTCCTGGGGAAGGACTACCCTCATTGATCCTCTGTGCTGCTCCCAAATCAGGACATCCTATCCTGCATCTTCCTGTGCAACGTGGAGCCAGAACAACCTGCTCAGGACTTCTCAGCAAACACCTCCAACAGAATCTTAGTAGCAAAGGCATTTTACTGCCAAGGTGTCATTCTGCTGGGATTAAAACTGCTCCCAGCCTTTGGATGGGTTCTCCTAAATGATATAGCCCGTGTAATAAAACAGTCTGTTAATTTTACAGCTGGAGTATAAGTATGAATTGTGTAAGAAAGCTCTTGGAAGCAAACCAGACTTCCCTGAAGTGGCCACGAGTGCCTTCAGCACAGCCATGGAACAGCCAGAGAGCAAAGAAAGTGCAGACTGGGGAAGGAATGCTGCAATACAGAGTTCACTGCTGCACTGCCACGGGATGACAGGGATGCAGGCTTGGTTAATCAAGGCATGCCAAAGTGGACAGGAGCTCAGGATGGCAGCACTGGAGCCAGCAGCTCATTTTCCAGGTTCTCAGGCAGGTTTCTGCTGACTGTACTGAGGGCTGTGCTGCTGCAGCTCGGAGTTTTTTTGGTGCCCAAGCTCTCCAGCACAAAGATAGCTCGAGTACATCCAGATGTGCTGCAGACACAGACCCCAGCTGCAGTATCAGCAGGGCTTTTAATAGCCCTGTCAGGAAGACAGAAGTGCTGACATGTAACTCCCTCAGTCATCTGAGCTCCTCTGGCTGAGGTGATTTGCATCTCCCGAGTCTGATACTGGTTCTTGTGTCAGAATCCCAGTACAGGCCAAGAACTGGCACTGACAGTCACACCACACTTGGGACAACCTCACAGAAATGTGCTGCTTCTGTACTGGCACAGCAATGGTAGGGAGTGGAAATCCTCATTACCAGCCATTCCCAAAAGGATAGAGTGGCCCAAGGAGATGGCACAAGCCACATTCATGCCCTGTTCTGTAATGCCTCCAAAAGAAGCAGGAGAAGAAATGGGATTCCTGCAGAACACTGGTTCTAATGACCCAAGGAATCCCAGGGCACTTTGTAAAAACAAACGACCATCAGTGACCGGTCCATTAATTGGATCAGCCATCAACCCTTCCTCTGGAAAGTTTTCACTGCTTTGAGAGGCAGCCTCAGCCTTTTGCAAATCCAAATTCTCTCCTTTCTTGGGCAAACTGACATTATTTGTGTGGCTTGTTCCTGACCCTCCTCTTCCTTGGCCCTTCCTGCTGCAGCTCAGGTTGCTCCTTGGCAGAGCAGGAGAGCAAACATCCACCAGTGGCAGGGGAGGGCTGGCTCTGACCTTTCCTCTCAGCTGCTCACAACAGCTGTCGAGCTGTTTGCTGAAGTCCCTGACAAGACATCTTGCCCTTTTCTCCAGGCTGAGGCTGGGTCAGCAGGGATGGAGCTCCTGTCTGCAGACAAAAGCCTTTTATATCATGTTCTGAGACAGGAGGCGACAGCGTGAAACGCGACATCAGCAGAGCCTGAGACGCTCCTGGTGAAGGCCTGGGAGGTGTCAGGGATGTCTGATGGCAAAGAAACAACAGTCCAGGATTGATATCACAAAAAGGTGGCATGGAGGGAGAGCTGTGAGGTTACTGTGCTAGCAGGGATAAATTAGGAAGCGCCAATTAAAAGTTATCCGCTTGTCATCTTATGCTTTCAATGTCTTGCCTGGTGTGTTTAATACTTATACTGTGACAGCAACTTTGGGAGTTGCTCCAGCCTGCCTTTGTAAACGTAATCCCTGTCTTGGAGAAAGTCCCATCCCCTAAAACCAGGCAGGTAAGGCTGGAAAAAGAGAGAGAGGTACAGGAAAAGTAAATGATTTTCCCTCAGGTGAAGAATAAACCCTGTCCCCATGGTCACTACTCTGGAGAGTGACTCAGGGCACCAAGAACAACAAAGGGTCATCCTTCCTTCAGATGGATTCTAACTTTTTTGAATTTTGAAGTAGAGACTGAACACACAAATAAATTCTCATTTCCAGCCATATTCAGACACGTATTTGGATCCAAAAGTTAGCTTACATGTGGTCCAATGCACTCCTCTCTGCATTTCTCAGGTTGGGTTGCATAGGTTCTGCAACAAGTACAAGGTCTCTGCTCACAAGTTAAACAGGCTTTTACTTCTTTCCCCCCCCAGTTTTATCTGCCTGCCGCTGTCCTTAGTGCTGAATTAATGGCTGCAATGCGTTGTGGTGGGTTTATGTAAATTGCTGGCAGCAAACAACAGCCATAATACACTTTGTTGCGACGAGATGCAGTTTGTAGTGAAATCTATTATAGTTCAAATATAAATTAATTATAATCCCTTCTGCTGTAGTGAACCTTCATGTATAATTAACAATTACTGTAGGGGGAAAAGGGAAGGAAAAATCCCCATCTGAGTGTTTCAACGTCAGTAATAATTTCCACGTCCCTAATACCTCTCCTAGGAAGGTGTGTTATAGTTTACCTGTCCCCCTGCACATGGCAAGTCACAGCTGCTTTCAGCTGGAGCCAAAAGAGCTGCTGCAGCACGAAGAAAACATGAGTCATTTGAGACCATGCTGTGCTCTGGTCTCCAGGAAATATGGACAGCAGCTCTTTGCCATATCCAGGACTCGGGGAGAACAGGGTGGTGAGAAGAGGCAGCTTTGAGGGTGTCAGCAATATATCAGTGTTGATGAAGATGTTAAACTCGGGAGTGAGTGTCCAGACCCAGCTGCTGGAATCCACGTGCCACGGAAAGTCCAAACTTGCCTGTATCCCACAGCCAGACCCTCCCAGTCCAGCTCTTTGGCCCAGCAAGGAGCTCTGCACACAGCTGCCCTCCAAACCCTCCAACACAATATTTCCACTGGAGTCAAGTTTGCTCAACAGGGCAAAATTCAGAGCTCAAGCACTGTAATAACAGCACTGCAATTTCCAGGCACTTCCTGCAGCCTGGAACAGGTGCTTCAAACAGAGCTGCTTACTGGCTGCTCAAGGACTTCAAAACCCAGGTGAGAGCAGCTCTTGGGAGAATGGGAAAGAGGTGGTGATGGCTCAGTGTCTGGATTCGTTCAGGGCACGGGTCAGCATAAACACTGGGAAGCTAAAGCTGGTAAATGAAAAATTTGGAGGATCCTTCCCCCTTACAACAAAGCCTCCTGCTCCCAATCTCTAATGAGAGTCAATTGCTGCTGATAAATTTTACATAATAGCTTTTTGCTTGTTCTGCAAATTAAGCAGAAAAATTGCCTATTAGAAGGGAAACTGGGGCGATTCTTAAAACTTGGTGTAACCTATTTAGCTGCTTAGGTCAGATGCAGGGCGGTATCCAAAGTGTCCTTATTAATTTTCTGCAGGGAGCAGCACTTTGCACTGCTGAAGCAATGTCTTGCTTCAGAGACCCAGCAAGAGCTGATTTCAGGACCACATCAAAGCTGGCTGGGACCAGAGGGGCTGGATTAGCTCCCGTGCTGATGTGAGGGAACTGTCCTTCAGCACAGCACTCTGCTCCCTCCTAACCCCTCCTAACCATCTTCCTGCAGGCTGATGGGTCACCCACACAAGATATATTTATTTAAACCAGCAACAAAGATGGGAAATGCCAGGCTGGATTCTTAGAGCCCTTTTTTTAGCCAGGACCTGTCAAAGCAGCTCGTTGTGTTCCAGTGCCTCCTCCTGCCCCTCAGCAGCATCTCCCCAGTGCCACAGGCTGCACCAGGCTTATTTAACCCTGCAGCTGGAAAGCACCACACCTGGCAGAACTAATCTTTTAGGGGATGTGAGCACCACCTCCTGACTCATTTCTATCTGGGGCACAGGATGGCACCGACTTCTACTTAGTGCTGAGCTTGGCTGTGAACTGAAAGGGTTCAGGCTCAGCCCCAACACAGGCAGATATTCAGGGATTGTTAAAATATCCCCCTCCCCAAACCTTTCATATAAATCACAGTTATATATTTGTTTTCCATATCTTTTCCTCATCTTTCTCTCTCTTCCCAAGCCCCACAAGACATCCTCAGCTCCCACACTCCTCAGGGGCCATAAAACACCAGCACACCCCGGCAGTGCTGCAGTCCCCTCCAGCTCAAGGTGCTGAGCAGTGAACTGGCAGCTTTACCCATCAGTGAGGCCAACAGCCAACAGCTCCCTACTCTTCCTACTCTGGAAGTGTCCAAGGCCAGGCTGGATGGGGCTCTGAGCAACCTGGGCTAGTGGGAGGTGTCTCTGCCCATGGCAGGGGGTGGAACGAGATGATCTTTAAGGTCCCTTCCAACCCAAACCCTTCTGGGTTTCTATGATTCCTCCACCAGTTTTGCCAACACTTGGACCTTGTGTGTCCTGTCTGCCACGAGCACACACTGTTCCACTGCCCTGCCCTGTTTGCACCCATCCTGCTGCCTCCCCCTGCTCCATCTCATCCCTAGGAACAACCAAACACACAGACATGTAACTCAACTGAAAGGAGTTGTCTCCACCTACTCCCCTACTTACTGTCCACGGGATTTAACAGCTCATTTACCTGCTTCTGATACGGGCCCCTCGAGGTTTATTACCTGCAAGGGATCCTCACTTAAGCCCGAGATGTGCTTTTCTTCCTGCTCTCTCCCCGGGAGTCTGAGTGCTGCTGAAAACAATTCCGAGTGTCTCAGCTAATCAATGGTATCTCCCAGCCAATCTCATGCTCCTGACACGTGTGAGCCTTTTGCTTATCCTTCCCCAGCTGAGAAAGAATTACCCAGAAATTTCATCAACCCGGCAAAAAAAAGGGGGGAGGGAGGAAAAAGGAGGAGAAGGGGACAGCGGAGGGGAAAAACAAAAAAAAAGGAAAAATATCAGCAAAGGTCACCAGATCTAACCTTGGTCTGCTTCAAAAACTGCTTTTCCTTCAAGAGCAGCATCCGGAAAGCACAAAAAACAAGTGGTATCTGGACCTGAATAACAACACAGCAGAGGCCCCTTCAGCATGAATAACGACCCGGCATTGTCAGCTCAGCACCACCGGGGCTCGAGGGGGGACGCACATTGTTTGTGTTCTTGATTCTGGCTGAGTCTGTGCCAGTGCTCTGAGACATCCGAGCCTTCCTCCCTTTGCATACCCACAGAAATCCGCTAAATAACCTCTGCTGGCACCAAATAACTGCTGCTCCTTGGAGAAAAGGTTCTTAATAGACAATGGGAGGGGGTGCTGGAAAAGCCTGCGCTGACAGACAAGTGCAGAGGGACCAACACACGCGACAGACTTCCAAATTCTCCCGACCAGAGAAAACAAATTAGAAAAAAATGAGCCATATTTTCGACATTTTTCTTTTTTCTACACTAATCCCTTCTCTTTTCCATCACCAAGATCTTTTATTTTATAAATATGTCAAATTGCAATAGAATGGATGACCTTCTCCCCTGCTCCCTCCAAAACAAATCAATGCTTCATTCAACCTGAAACACATATTTCCTTCTTTGTTTTCCCTCCACCCCTGGGAAAGTAACAAATGCTTCTTTCCCCCAAAGTGTGCTTTCTGCTTTTCAGCACATTGCTGGGCATAAGTGCTGATTATTTACACAGCACCATTTATTACTTGGTTGTTGTTTGTTGGTTTTTGGTTTTTTTCTCCCAGGGAAATCGATGCACAGCAAGGCCAACCTGTTGCATGGTGAGGGAAGAGCTGCAGAGCTCCAGTGCCCCTCTGGAGTGGCAGATCTGTCTCCCAGCCCAGCTGTGCCTCTCCCACACATCCTGTATCCACTCCCCACAAACTGCACGGGGTTTGAAGCTCTTTTGTGGCTCATTTTCAGGGCACAGGGAGAAAATGCTCAGCGTTTTTGGGGCACGTGGGAGACCAGCTGAGCTTTGGCCGTCAAAAATGGGTGTCTGTGGTTTGACAAGGTTTGAGCCAAAACCTGCTTTTTTCACTCTGATATTTCCACCTCTGGCCAAGCAGAGAGGGAATCACTTATGGCCATTCCCTCCTGCCCCATTCCTCAGTTTTTCCACCCCTGTTGATCAGTGCATCTCCTGAGCCTGTGGCAGAGCTCTCCGAGGCATTCCCAGTGCTCTCCAAGGCTGCCTGAGCACAATCAGGTCATCAAAATCCCACAGTTTCCACTGTATTGATGACCACCCCACACCTTAGCACTAACTGGAGAGACAGGCAGCAGAATTCCTGGCAGCCAGTTCTGCTGATTACATGGGATGTTACCAGAAGTAGCCTCCTATCTGTACCACTCTATGAATTAACTTTATCTGCATCAGATCCACAAAACAATGACATTAAAGCAAGAAGCAGAGCTTTGGAACCATCTACAAGAATGAGCTGACTACTTCATCCTGAGCTTTAATTAAAATGGGCTCAGCCACTTCGTTTTATTTATTCTTTGACAGCCATCTTCCATTTTCTGCCTAAATACAATCTCCTGCCATTTTTCAGTGCCATTGCGGGGTCAGCGACCAAAGTACAGAAATAAAAATCACATGACTGAATTACTGCAGTTTCCAAACACTTAGGATTTTATTGCCAGCAGCTAACTGCCTTCAGAGAACATCTGCTTTCAGTTCCTACTGCAATCTCCATCTCAGGCTGGAGCTGTAACTGCTCCTAAGGAGCCCAAAGAGACAGGCCATAGCATTAAAGCCTGACCTACTTCCATCAAAGTGTTATCACCTCTTTTCCTCCCCTCTCCTTCCATTCACCTTGCCTTTTGCAGCCTTCCCTTCCCAAACTTGTTTCCCCCCACGGATCTACACTTACCTCTGGCTGGTGAAGGAGGATAAACTGGAGGCTGAAGGGCACAGCAGGTTTGCAGTAACCTCACACCATGAACCCACAAATTCAAATCTAAGCATTTAATCCAACTGAAATCTAATTTAGCCCTTCTCTCTCCTCTGAGCTTGCCAAAAGGAGCAGCAGAACTCCTTGGAGGTTTCAGGGCAGTCCTTAAGAGAGGTAACTCCCTCTTCCCTGCCTTCCCACTGTGGATAGACTCCCGAAATCCTCGTGGGATTTCGCTGAAAAGAAATAAGCTGCCCAATGTGTCCTGGTGTTTTTAGCCAAAGCTCTCCCTGTCATCATTTTCTGAACAGACTGGATATCTGTATGATGAAAGCAAAACACCTCCCAGTGCTGGAAGAGCATTCCAGCTATTCCCTCTTTTCATTCTGCATTATAAACCCAAACTCTACCCAGCCAACTGGCAGCCACCTTCACAGAGAACAGCAAAGCCTTTTCTTTATTTAAAGGTTGTGAATGCAGAAAACAGAATGGCATTTCAGGATAGGATTCCTGACATAATGAGCAAACTGGCAGTAAATAAAAGACAAGATGAGAATCAATAGCTTCTGAAAGAGAAAAGGAACATCAAAGGAAGTGGAAGAATACAGAGAGGGAAAAGGTAAAAAACCTTACTATTTTTCTCACAGAAACGAAATTTGTAGGGGTTTGGGCTTAATCCAAGGCTGAAAGAAAACTACAGCACAGCTGTCAGTGGTTTCACCACCCTTTGGATCAGGTTCTCTGTTCTTTTATTCCAACTTCCTGCCCATGCTTGTGAAATAATACATGTGATACCTTTGGAGAGGAACCACAGCAAATCCCCACTTTCCTCCCAAGTTATCACTAAAGCCAGGCTGAGCAGGCTCAGTGGAACTCCTGAAACAGTGCCTGAAACAGCAGTTCCCACATCTCAGCTCTGGGTTCTTTCCTGCCACCAACCACCTGTAGGACGGAGCAGTTCAGTGGTAATTGCAATTAAATGGAGGGTTTGCAATGAAAGCAAACACGGTAATGGAGTTAATTTTAGCAAACCACTAATGAGCAATACACCAGCCTCCTTCTTTACCCTTATGACCAACTTCCTAATGTGCCTTCTCTTGCTTTATTGAAATCATTAACAACTAACCCGCTGTCCTCCTTTTGGAAAACACATTCCTTCCAGATTCTGCTCCACGGGGATCTGAAAGAGCTTTTCCAATCAACAATTCATTGAATGAAGTCTCCAGAAATCTGCTGTTGTGTTCCCATCCTGAGCTGACCTTGAGCTATTTAAACCTAGATGGATTTCAATTCCATAGTCCCACCAGATCCTCCTCCCCGCCCTCCACCTGGGATAAGAGAGGCTTTTCAGAACATGTTAGAGGAGGTCTGCTAAATGATGCATTGAAAAGAGCTGGAGGGAAAAACAGCTTTATCATCTTGTGGCTTGAGCAGAAGGGGATGGGGTTCCTCAGTGCTTTAAAAGATAATGAAAAAATAAAAAACCCAGGCAGGGAGCAATGCAAAAGGGGAGAATTAATACTTTTTGATGGATGAATAAAACGGGTTCAACAGAGAGCAAGGTCCTAGGGGAGTCCTAGGCACTGCCTGTTCACATTAATGCAAATTCCATACTAGTATAACTTTTCCATGGAAGATGAAAGGGTAAAAGGGTCCAGCTGCTGAGAGGACGTGCCATGAAGGAACATGGGAGCGAGGCTGTGGAGCAGCTACTGCTCAGAATTCAGATTCAGCGAGTTAAACAGCACAAGTTCTTGTGATGGCCGAGGCTGTGGTTCATTCAGCAGTCCCTGGGCTGAGATTTAGCATCACTAATCTGGATTCTGGTGCAGATGTTTGCAGTGGCTCCAACAGCTCATGAATGTGGTACATCCTCCCAGCTGCTCAGTCTCCAAGCAGGATCCTCGGGGGCAGGTCTGGGCTGCTGGCAGAGCTCCAGGGAAGGGGCTCTGTAAGTCTCTAAGTCCTCATCCTTTGGTCTGAGCAACTTTCACAGGCATTCCTCTAAAACTGCTGCCCCTGCCAGAGCACTGCTAGAAGAGCAATTTATCCACAAAGCATCAACACCAGAGGAGTTGCCAAATGCCCCTCACAAGGTCACGGTGCCAGCTGGACTGTTTCACTGCGAGATGAGAAGTCACACGAAGCAGAAGCCAGAAAAGCTGTTCCATTTGCTTGCATTAAAGGTCCATGATTTGAATAACCCTGTGTGATGGATCACAGGAGGAGACACTGCTGAAAAGGAAAGGAAAGGAGGAAAAAAGGGGGAAAACTAGGGCAAACCTTCCCAGCAGCACCTCCCTGCCCTGCTGAGCACTCATCCCCTCTGCCCTCAGAAACATGCAGGGATAGTCCTTAAAAACAGCTGGGTCAGCAGTTCTCAGTGGGACAATCTCCTTCCTTCAGACATTTCTCAAATGCTTATTTACTCAGATTTTTACCCTGCTGGAAAAACAACGAGCAGAAGAACAGATTCTGCTCCCGTACCAACCTGTGTCTGGAGCTATTCAGTTTGCCCTAGAAATTTCAGGAATTAAATGCCAGTGTTCCAGGAGATCCCAGGATAACGTGGCACCCTTCCTCCAGTCCTCCAGGAGATGCTGGTTTCCATTGCTCTGAGTCTGTGTGCTTTAGTGTTTGACAAATATTTATATAATAAGACATCAAAAGCCAAATAACTGTGCAAGAAGTGCTGAAAGTACAGCGAGCCAAGCCAGCAATGCCATTATCAACCCTCTCCTTCTTCCCTCCCTAAAAACCCAAGTATTTAAAACCTTCCTCAGCGGGTGTGAAAATTAAGGAACCGACACGTTTCCAGAGCTCACACAGGCAGGAGCAGAACAAACTCCTCTCACACAATTCAACATGATCCTATTGAGCAGAAATAGAGGTTATAAATCCCTGTGCAGCCGTGACAGTGCCTCTGAATCATCTCCTGCCACAGCATGGATATTCCACAGACCTTTGCCCACGTTTCTCCTGCTGGCTCTCAAGTGCTTCCAGAGCTCTGCCTGCTCAGCCCACACCTTTGCACCAGCATCACACCTGCCTTGGATTTTTATATTTATATATACATTTATATATACATTTATATATACATTTAAATATACATTTATATATATTATAGAAATTATATATTATATATATATTATAGAAAATATATATATTATATGTATTTATATATATTTATATATAAAGGAGTAACCCTTCACACCTTTTTTCCTGGCTCCCTCATGTTTTTGGGGTGTCAGCTCTGTTCTAGCACAAACCAAAAAGTTCCAGTGAATGTGTTTTCCAGGTTCCTGCAATGTTTTCTTTGAGCTGTGGATCCAGGTGAGTTTTTGAGGCTTTCCTTCTATCAGACAGTCTTTAAAAAAAACTCATACTCAGGTTAAGTTTTTGAGGCTTCCCTTCTGTCGTATAGTCCTGAAAAAACACATACTCAGGAAAGTTTGTGAAGTTTTCCTTCCATCAGACAGTCCTTAAAATACACATAGATAAGTTTGTGAAACTTTCTTTCTATAATATAGCCTTTAAAAAACCTCATATTCAGGTAATTTTTTTAGGCTTTTCTTCTATAATATAGTCCTTAAAGACCACATACTCAGGTCAGGTTGTGAGGCTTCCCTTCTATCATACAGTCCTTAAAAACCACATACTCAGTTAAGTTTTTGAGGCTTTTCTTTCTGTCAGACAGTCCTTAAAACCCACATACCAACCACTGCCTGACAGGACAGTCCTCACAACACAGCTTCACCTTGCCCACGAGCTGTTTTCTGGTCCCTCGTGCAGACACCACCTCTCCATACCCACATTCCACGTGGCACCAGGCAATTTATACATGAGATCAGTGACTCAGAGACTGACACTTCACTCAGGAACAGCAAACCTCGCTCAACACCCCTCAGCCTCCCTTTCTGCCTCAAGCCCTTCTGCTCACAGGCTCGTCCAAAGCAAACAGCACCATCAGCCAGGGCACGGCGACTTCACGAGCAATAATATCACCAAAATATTTCCAGATTCTCGACCACGTGTCAAGAAGCATTAGGACTGTGTTCTCAGGACTGATTCTGACTCCTGGCCCTGCACAGACACCCCAGCAATCCCACCCTGTGCCCCAGAGGAGCATCCAAACCCTCCTGCAGCTCTGGCAGCCTTGGGGCTGTGCCCACTGCCCTGGGGAGCCTGGGCAGTGCCCAACCAGCCTCTGGGGGAAGAACCTTTGCCTGAGATCCAACCTGAGCCTGCCCTGGCACAGCTCCAGCCCTTCCCTGGGTGCTGTCCCTGGGCAGAGAGCAGGATCAGTGCCTGCCCCTCCAGTTCCCCTCAGCAACGAGGTCTCCCCTCAGTCTCCTCACAAACACTCCCCGTTTTGGCCTCATGTCCCACACCTTTATCTGCCCCTGGAATGTCTTATCCTGGCTCAGGGCACCTCTGCCCTGCCAAGCTGCACCTCTGGGGTGCCCAGAAAACTCCAGGGAAATAAGGCTGCCACGAGGATGCCCCACAGAGGTGGCATTCCCCAACTGGGGATGGATGGAGCCATCAATCATGGTGCTGTTTCTAATCAGCTGCACCCTGGCTGGTGAGCAAATGGCATCTCATTTGCAAAGCTTTTGCTGAGTTCTCTCATTAGCATAAGTATTGTTTTCCATTATCCATGGTGATTCACATTAAACTAATGGAAATCCATCTGTCATCTGAATATATCTCAGCAAAGGGCAACTGTGAATTCAATTAATGACTATTTGCCCCTCTCCTACTTATCTTAGAGTGGTTTGGGTGGGAAGGGACCTTAAAGACCACCTTGTCCCCATGGGCAGGGACACCTTCCACCAGATCAGCAGCTTAAGGACCAGTTTCCCATGGAAGTTGCCTGATGGTGTGGTTTGAATCCTGCCTGATCTTCCTGCAGTGGAAGCAGAATTGTACCTGTTTGCTACATCAGATTTGGACTTGTAGCTGTCAATCTGATGGCATTAGGAATTCTGGCTTCCAGGGTAACTAGGACTTTAACCAAGGCTCCTTATGATAAACAGTGTCTTTTATCCTTACCCTGACTTGATCATTTTAAGAGCACAGTTTGTCTGAAATAGTTTGTTTGAAATCCATGGCTTGGATGAGTTGAGGGGAAGATAGTTCTAGGTCAACACTGAACACAAGAGAAGAACTATCAGTGAGCTGAGCCCTCTCTTTCACAAGCTGCACTAACATCCAGTTTAGAGCCACATTTTTGTAACTGCAGGAATCTAGTTCTGGAAAAACCCTCCACTGTGGGTCA